GGGGGGGGGGGGGGGGGGGGGTTTTTAAGGGGGGGGGGAGGAGAATGAGTAGAGAAGATGATGACGTTAACGAGTGAAGTGCTAAGAACATGGGTATAGACGATTTGTTATACAGTAAGTACAGTTGTATGCAGTAAAATCCTAGAGGCTACTGTCCCTTTAAATACAAGATCTGCCAAACGCCACTTAACGTCCACAACGATATTCATATGGACCTTCGTATAGATTCGACTAACGAAACAATATTTATGAGCAAATGTGCAGCTGAAGACACACGTCATCCTGCTCCTTCTCCTGCAGCTTGGCCATCGATCGGTCTACCTCGTCAATCACAGCTGCCCACTTCATCACGCTGCTTCATCACTCTTACCCCTCGAACCGGTCCATCTCTCTATCCTCTCTAACCACCCACCCCTACAACACTTGTGTCTTTCATATCGTCCTCTCTACCCATGTTCTTAGCACTTCACTCTTTAACGTCATCATCTTCTCTACTCATTCTCCTCCCCAGCACTTAACGACTCCTCCACGTCATCCTCTCGATCTATCCTTTCCTCCTGAACTGCTACCTCATCCACTCAGCATCTTCTTTTCCCGTGCTTACACCTTGTACTTCCAACTTTCATACATCTGAAAATCCCATTCCTTTGGCCCTTTTTACCTAACTACTCATCCTCACTTCCTCTACTAATGCTGCCTCAGACTTCTCTTCCAACGTCTTCCTAAATTCCTCTCCAACCTCTGCCTATATCCATCTTAATTTAGCCGTACCAGTAGCTGATCTACTGAATTTTTTAGTTCACCCTTCTTCCTGCTCAGTAACCCCACCTCTACAACATCCCACTTCTTTTCCGCTTGTTCCCCCGTCGTCACATTAATATTTACCAACTGCTGATTCTACCTTTCCTCCTTGTAACCCACATTAGTCTTCCACTCTCCTATCTCCTACTGCAACTCGAATTTTACTACGCTTACATTTTGACTAATCACATAATTGTACAGCTTACACTGATCGGGCAATAAATAGAAAATCACTCATGATTATTGTTTACCCAATGCACGCAAGACCATTTTTGTCGTATATATAACAAAAATATAACAGAATACTAAACATCGAGCAGGTTTGATTTAGAAGATTGTTTCAGAAACCACATGATTTCTCTCATATGATTTTGTCTGCAAACATTAAAAGCAATGGCGGCGAAGACAAAATCGTGGGTGCATTAGACGCAAGACGAGTCTTACCCCCGAGTCACTTTCAATAAATACGCAGCACTGTAAAAGTGCACTCCACTGCACGGGGAATGTCCAAAGCGTAAACACTAGATTGGAACGTAAAGACGTACTAGTACAATATAAATACGCGTACACATTTTTCCACTTTTTAAAAATCAATACTGAACTACTTGCGTACACAGTGTGACTGCATCAGTCGTCAGCATTCCGCCCTTCTGTCTCCGCTTCGTGGGACTACACACTCGCATGCTGCTGCTGGTGCTACTGCTGCTGCTACTGCTGCTGCTGCTGCTACTACTACTGCTGCTACTGCTCCTGCTGCTACTGCGGCTGCTGCTGCTGCTGCTGCTTGGCTTTCACTCGCGGCGACTCTCCGTGAATCTTCCTGAAGATCTCCTGAAACTTGTTGTCGGGGAAGAGCGTCTCGAGCAGGCCCTCGAGCAGCGTGTAGACGAGCCGGCGGTTCAGCTCGCGCACCTGAAAGATGTCGAAGACGCGCTCGACGCCGTGCTTCGTCGTCTCGTTGCCCACCAGGGCGCGCAGCTCGTCCGGCATGCTGCCGAGAAGGCGGGCGCGCGCGATGACGCGCGTGCGCATCTTCGCGGCGGCGTCCCGCGGCGGCGCCGCCTCGACGGGCGCGCCGTTCGTCCAGAACGCGTCGCGCGCGGCGCGGACGGCGCGCGCCACCTGGTCGGCGCCCGTCATCCAGCCGACGTACTCGACGATGCGTCGGTTGATCATGTCGCCGAACGTCGCCTTGACGAGCTGGTGCGCGAACGCGACGATGCGCCGCCGCAGCCACTGGTTGCGGCTCTGCAGGTCGAACACCTCGTCCATGAGCAGCAGCAGGATGCGCAGCGGAATGTTGTCGTCGCACTCGGCGTCGATGCTCGCCGCGACGCGGCAGCTGTCGTAGAACTGGCCCGGCCGCACGCCGGGCACGCCGCTCGCGCGCATGTTCAGCATGCGCGTCAGGCCGTCCTTCATGTTGCCGGACATGCGGCCGAGGCCGCCGGACACCGTCCGCACGCCGCCGTAGATGTTCTCGGGCACCGCTGTTACGGCGCGACTGACGCTCTTCACGGACTTCTTCAGCGGCTTGACGATCGTGTCGACCTTGCGCGCGAGCTCGCCCTTGCACTTCTCGTAGCTGCCCTGCTCAAGGAACTGCGAGACGAGCTCGAGGAGGCCCGGGTTGGCGCGCAGCATGTCCGGGCAGAGCAGCGCCTGCAGGTAGCGGTTGAGGTCCTTGCGGCGCTTCTCGAGGAAGTCCTTGTCGAGGTTGTTGAACGTCTTCTTGCCGGGAAGCGCGAGGCCGTTCAGCGGCGGGTGCCGCTCGTAGATGTTCATGTGCAGGTCGTAGAAGTCGCTGTAGCGCCGGTAGACGTTCCACGAGTCCTCCTTCGGCTCGTAGCAGGTGACGGCGATCGAGTAGACTGCGTAGGGCTTCTTGCCTAGCTTCACGATTCCCGCCTGCGTGATGTAGGCGGTGAACGGCATGTCGGCTGAGGCCGTGATGGTGGCGTCGAGCGACGACAGGCTGGCACTGTCGACCTGCGCGATAGAGAGTCATCGATTAAACACAAATAAAATAATTAAATTGATTTCATTTCCTATCACCACCTCTCGATAATATATAGAATAGTATATATGGTATGGTATGGTATGGTATGGTATGGTATGGTATATATGGTGGAATGGTATATATTACAGTCATATATATTATATGACCTGTAGGTCTAATGCGCATTAGACACTCGTCATTTAATCGCATTGCAGAATCTCCACAATTCATACGACACGCATCAATAACAATTATCGGAAAACAGTTGGCATCTATTACTCCGAACGAGTCTCCTAACGAGAAATCTACAACTCCATCCTACGACTAAATGAACGAGACTCATTAAATAAATTCATTCGGTTAGTAGATAACTTAACCAAGAAAGCTCTAAATGAACAAGATTTAACGGGGCGTTCCGAGCTTCAGACCTGGTCGCACAGCAAGGTCAAATCCTCGGTGGATCCCCGCAGGCTGCTGCCACGCGACGAGCTGTCGTCCTCGTCGTCCGACTTGTTGCCCGCGTCCTTGAGAAGGTCGAGTTCGGCGAGCAGCTTCACGTAGATCTGGCTGCGGCGGAATGCCGGGAAGAAGCGGTCCTCCTGCAGCGCGTCGTAAACGCGCGCCTGCACCTCGTCGAATAGGTACTCCGTGAGCGGCTCGCGGCCGAGGCTTGTCCACACCTTCAGGCACGAGAACAGGTCGAGATGTTTGTGAAAGAAATATTTCATTGAATTGTCATTTTCTATTAACCATTGTCATCGAATTTCCGTACGCATGAGAATAGGGTAAAACCCTTTACATTACATAGATACCACGCGATATTTATCTGGAGTTCCGTCACTTCTGTGTGAAATTTGACGTACTTTTCCTGACTTTTTATGAAGTTAAAATTAAAAATGGCGTCCATTTTGACAAGAAAAGTACACCTTATCCCCCCTCAAATTTCTATTCATTTGTAACATCGATCTCAAGAATTACCAAAATGAAAACCGCGGACAATTCCTGCACCTTGCGCACGACGTGCTCGTCCACCTTCAGCTTCTGCGTCGACTTCTCCGACAGGTACTGATCGTAGATGTTTCGCGCGGCCTCGCCGAGCTGCGTGCCCCCGCCGGTGCTCGCCGGCGCGCCCGGCTGGGCCATCCGCCGCAGGTGCGCCGCCGACAGCTGCTGCTCGGCCGTCACGCGGTAACCCTCGACGGTCAGGTAGAAGAAGATGTACTGCTGCGCGCCGAGGCTGCTCATGAAGTCTATGAAGTACGAGAGCGCGACGCTGTTTCCGAGCACCATCTCGAGCGAGAGGTTGAACAGCCGCAGGCCGGGCACGAGCAGCCGATTGAGGTCGAGATGCGTCGGCAGGCCGATCGAGTCCGTCTCGTCGCCGTCCTGCAGCCGCTTGATCTTGCTCTCGCACGTCTTCTTGACGAACAGCAGGCTCTGCAGCTGCTCCTTGATGTCGGCGTCGTCGTCGCGCGAGTCCTTCGAGCGCTGCAGCGCGATCTCGCTCGCGACCATCGCGCGAATCGCCTCCAGCTCCTCGCAGCTGCCCGACATCTGCAGCGCCGTGATGAACGTGTCCGGCGTCAGCGACGGCTCCTTCGTGAAGTAGATGAGATTCTGGTTGACGTAGTCGGGATCGGAGAGCAGGTCGACGATCGGCAGCAGCACGCGGTTGGCTAGCAGCTCGCGCGCGAGAAGCATGAACGGACGGCTCTGGAAGTCGGCTGCCGGCAGCAGCAGGTACAGCAGCAGCTCGCTGACCGCCTGCAGATAGTGATGGGAGTCGATTAGAATTTCATCATCAATCATCGGTTGCACCCAATAACATTCAATCGATTACCTTCGATCATCGATCGATGATCGAAGGTAATCGATTGAATGTTATTGATCGCGGCTACCAGATATTGAAATATATCATATAATACAGTACTTCTTATAATACAATATGCTAAAAGCCATGTAGCAGTATTATCCTTGCTAATGTTTGGTGTAGGTTAGATTTACTGTTTCCAAGCATCATTTCATCAATGTTTGCAAATTTTAATTTGAATAAAAATTGTTTTTCCCCACTTAAATTTTTGTTTGTTTTGATAATTGATTCTTTATTTTCATAATCGAGCGCTCAGTCTGTTGCCGCAAACGACTGACTTTTGATTACAATTGATCATCGGGACATCACTACCCAACGCATTTGCACAGTCAGTTTTTAAACTGCACGACCAAAAAAATTGAAAAATTGAAAAAATTGAAACATTTTCCAGGAGAGGCCCCCCATACCCACCAATGAGAGGGGAGAATGAGAGGGGCAACCCCCCCTCTCATACTCTCCCCCGTGAACACCTACGGCGGTCTTGGCTAAGACACACACAAAAATTGCACTCCCAAATATTTTTTCTGCACTCCCACCAATACTCATTCCTGGCTAATACCCTGTCACTACCTGCAGGTACTCCTTCTCATGCTGGCCGGAGAGGCAGATGCGGTCGCGGCAGACGGCGCCGTACTCCACCTCTAGCTCGGTGTCGAAGAAGACGCTGACGAGTGGCGGCCGTGGCTCGTCGCGCGCGACGCTCTCCCGGATGCGCGCCTGCGACTTGCGGTAGATGCGCAGGTGGCTCGCGAAGTCGTCGACGAGCCGCGTCGTCAGGTAGGCGACCCAGTCGGTGCGCTTCGAGCGGTGCGTGACGGCGGCGACGACGTGCTGCGCGCCGCTCCACAGCTCCTGCAGGAAGCGCTGGTCGTCGCTGACGCGCGTGTAGTACCACGACTGCACGTGGTCGCGCAGCAGGTAGTGCAGCGCCTCCTGGAGGGGCTCGTCGATCACCGCCGATCCCGTGAGCCGTCGGTCGGCCGCCTTGACGCTCGGCGGGACGGCGTCGCGCGCGCGCACGCCCGGCAGGCGCGTGCGCGGCTTGCCCCACGGGTTGTAGATGAGTCGCTGTCGCAGCGCGGGCATCGTCTTCACCGCCTGGTGGTAGAGAACGAGGCCGCCGCCAAACAGGAAGGCGACGGCGCTGAAGAGGAAGCAGACTACGCCGTGGATGGTCAGCGACCCTGCCACGAGAGCTGTGAGAAGCCCCACCCAGGCAAGGGTCGACAGGCTGACCTCAGACATGCCTACGCGTGACGATGTGCTAGTGTCACTTTTCGGCAGCCTGAAACGACACACGTGCACATAATAAATACGACTACAACAAATGTAATTTAGTTACAACAAATAATATGGATTTCATCATAACTGCCAACGCCAAGGTACGCTGTACGAATTTGTCGATGGTCATTAGCCAGGCAAATTACAGGCCCGCATCATTCACCGGATACCGTAGCATTTTTTTTTTAAATAAACAATTATAATATTATTTAATAGTAATACCCTGTTGTGCACAACTTGACACAAGTGAGCAATACTGCGGTAACTTTTCATCTTCGCTGGCATTCCGGGGATGGTTTTGCATGCTGCGGGTAGATTTTCTACAGGCCCATCGGGCTGGCTAGCATTAGAAATGTCAGGTCCGAACCTTAAAATACGGGCATCGCGCCCGCGGGTCCCTTATGATTTCGACCCATGATGTAGCCGAACTACACGTGAAATCAGTAAAGATGTGACCATTAGATTTTCCTTGACAAATAAAAATAGTGCGCGATATAATCAGCGATAAAAGTAGTTGCATAATAGTGTGATATAAAGCAAGCCGCGTAAATGGTCTGTAGTCTACTTGCACTTGGCCATTAGCTTGATGCTTTGCCATCTGAGAAACCCACAGGGCCTAAAAAAAGGCCCAGTCATTTACTTGACGGGGCTGATTTTATTCTAGATGGGGCTGATTTTTTTTAACTGATGAATTATGTAATAAAAGCTTTGTTACATTCGTATATGTATTAATGCTTGTTCCCTACTATTTGGTATATATATGAATTTATAGCAACCGGTGATCTTTCTCGATTTGACTTTCGTTTTCGATTCTCGGAATCTCAAAATTTGTCGGGGTTGGATAAAAAAGCCCCGTGGACACCGGAGACGGGGCTGTTTATGGGGCAGAAGGCAAAGCATGACTTAGATCGTTTAAATAATAAAATGATGGTAAATAAACATAAATAGTAATCACTACTAACATTTGTGTACTCTCTCGTACATGTGTATATATATCTCTTTCTGTGTTTGTCCACAGGTGCACGTGTGCAGTGAGATTGTTCGTTGTTGTAGAAGAGCATTTCAGTAGCATTTACATAGATTTATTATGCAATAGAGAGTACTAGTATACTAACATTAAGAATTTGTTATTAAATACGATTTGTGTTTATTTACCATCATTTCGTCATTGAAACGGCCAAAGTGCCTGTGGTCCAGACACTGAGACAGTGTCTGAGACACAATTTCAATAGCTCATTATCACTATCCATAGTTAGTTGGAATTAGCGGAACCTTCCCACCAGCCGCTCAAACTGACTTTTTTATCATTTGTTATTTAAAATTTACACATACTAATTTAGTAATCGACTTAATTTGATTATGTAGGTAGCTAGTAAGCTAGCTCTAGTACTATAGCCCGCGGATAGCTGCTGCAGGTAGCCGGCTAGCCGCAGCGCGCAGCTGGCAGCAGCGCTAGCTGCAGGCTGCGGCAGCTATCCGCGCGGCGGGCTATAGTACTAGAGCTACTAGTAAGCTACCAATGCCAATGGCAATTGGTACACACACACACGCATACACACACACACGCACGCACGCACGCATCATAACTGCCAACGCCAAGGTACGCTGTACGAATTTGTCGATGGTCATTAGCCAGGCAAATTACAGGCCCGCATCATTCACCGGATACCGTAGCATTTTTTTAAAAATAAACAATTATTTTGGAATTGTACACGCACCGCACCGCCATCGGTTGTTGTGTCAGCGCACCGCCATCCGCCATGTACTTAAACTTGTTACAATCACGCGCGCAGTGCTAGCGAACGCGAGAATTTCGACAGTCTTTGTGTGATTTCGCGTGACACAGCTCGGTTTTGAAGTGAGACGTAATATTTATACAACAAGTAAGCACTGTACTTCAATTAGGAGCAAAGATGGAGTCGTAAGGTTGAGTATTTCTGTTGTAATCGTGTGTAATCAAGCGAGCGTCGAGCGAATTTTTGGGATCGCGCTTTCTCACCTGCTCTATATTTATGTGTCAGTGTGCGCGCGATGGCGGCGGCGTATGTTTACTGTTGATACGCTTCAAGTGCTTGTGGTCCAGACACTGACGTAGTTGCACAACGACCCCTTGAGCACTAGTAAGCTACCAATGCCAATGGCAATTACACACACACGCACGCACGCACGCGCACACACACACACACACAAATACAATTACAATGATACATTGTAACATGATGATCATGTAATCGTATGCATCGGTATACCGTATGGTATCAGGAGTCTATCAATACTGACAACTGATTGTATGGCAACACGCGAGTACAGGAAGAGTGTTGATAAGCGATTCCATATTGACTGTTAGTTTAGGGTTGTGGTGAAAAGAATAACGAAGTATGTACGGGATTCTGACACTAAATCAAAACATCGTTTACTTAATATAGTAACTACACTACATTACCATTCTGGGGGTGTTGAACCCTCTCTTTTTAATGACGAATTCTTTATTTCGTTCTCATTTTATTTCCGACCGTGGCGCCAGCTCTCGGACAATATACGCACTACCTTTTGTCGCGAATGTTCCAAAACAAACTCCATATCGTCTTTGGTATCAGAAAATATCGTATATGTATGGTTTACAGTCAGTGCCGGATCAACTAACTAGAAAAAGTAGCATATGCTACGGGCCCCGCGTATTTTCAAGGGCTCTGCGCTAAATTATTGTAAGCTATCAATTCCGATTCATATATGTGGGGAATTGGGCCTCGGACGTCGGCCCGACGTCGGTCGCCGTTGACTGCTAAGATGATTTTCTTTGGCCGTTTTTATACGCTCAAACTGGAGCCGGGCGGGCTGCCAGCACGTGTGCATGGTAAAATCCGATCTATAATATTCACTTTTCTCGTAGCATCACGCAAACTGGAGCCGGGCGGGCTGCCAGCATGTGTGCATGGTAAAATCCGATCTATAATATTCACTTTTCTCGTAGCATCACGCTGCAATTTTTCCTATGCTAATAATATACATGAACTGACGCTCGCGTCGCTCGTCGCCGTTGCGAGCCAAGATAAATACCTTCGGCCGATCTTGGGCATTTAATCGACGGCACGCGTACGTGTGCATTGTAAAATACCATCTACAAGATTTACTTTGCTTGCAGCATCGCGCTCCGGGTTCCGCGTATGCTAATTGTACATGAAGATGCCATGCACTCGCGCGTTGGTCACCCACCGTTCACTGCCAAGATAATTTCTTATACGTTCAAACTTCAAACTGGTTGCGGGAACGTATAACTGGTTGCCGAGCCGGAAACCGGACCCTCAGAGAGAGAAGCGTGGGAGACTGAGAAAAGGCGGTAGGGATGATAGCTGAGCGGCCGTAAAAGAAGAAGGAGGTTAAACAAAGAACAAAGGGGCCAAGGGGAAGGACGGGAGAGGATATGAAGTAGGTGTTTTGCACGCTACAGGCTAGGGCGCGCTGTTAATTATAAATACAGGTCTATACTGATAACGATTTATTACATAAATCTATGCTGAGATACCCCTAACCATAAATAAATAGTCATCACAAAATATAATTCTTCTGGGGAGATACTGCGCATGCGCTAACACACGAACGTAGCCAGATTGTGTACTGACTGGTATATGCAGCGGGGACCTTACATGCAAGATTTTCCTGTTTGTTAAGTAAGGTGTACTGATGGCAGGCCCGTAGCCAGCTTTATATTGGGGGGGGGGGTTCGTTTTTCAATGTTGACGATTTGCTCGGCAGGGGCGTGTACAGGATTTGTACCAGGGAGGTCTA